TGGCATATCAACCTCAATGGGTTATTTAATGCCAACAACATTTTTAGGATAGATTCGTATGAATAGAATATATATTCTTTGGTTTAGATTGGTTTGGTTTATTTTGTTTTATGGCATATCAACCTCAATGGGTTATTTAATGCCAACAACACATTTTTAGGATAGATTCGTATGAATAGAATATATATTCTTTGGTTTAGATTGGTTTGGTTTATTTTGTTTTACGGCATATCAACCTCAATGGGTTATTTAATGCCAACAACATTTTTAGGATAGATTCGTATGAATAGAATATATATTCTTTTTTGGTTTAGATTGGTTTGGTTTATTTTTTTTTACGGCATATCAACCTCAATGGGTTATTTAATGCCAACAACATTTTTAGGATAGATTCGTATGAATAGAATATATATTCTTTGGTTTAGATTGGTTTGGTTTATTTTGTTTTTGGCATATCAACCTCAATGGTTTATTTAATGCCAACAACATTTTTAGGATAGATTCGTATGAATAGAATATATATTCTTTGGTTTAGATTGGTTTGGTTTATTTTGTTTTTGGCATATCAACCTCAATGGGTTATTTAATGCCAACAACATTTTTAGGATAGATTCGTATGAATAGAATATATATTATTCTTTGGTTTAGATTGGTTTGGTTTATTTTGTTTTATGGCATATCAACCTCAATGGGTTATTTAATGCCAACAACATTTTTAGGATAATTTTGTATGAATAGAATATATATTCTTTGGTTTAGATTGGTTTTGGTTTATTTTGTTTTTTGGCATATCAACCTCAATGGGTTATTTAATGCCAACAACATTTTTAGGATAGATTCGTATGAATAGAATATATATTCTTTGGTTTAGATTGGTTTGGTTTATTTTGTTTTATGGCATATCAACCTCAATGGGTTATTTAATGCCAACAACATTTTTAGGATAAATTCGTATGAATAGAATATATATTCTTTGGTTTAGATTGGTTTGGTTTTTTTTTTTTTATGGCATATCAACCTCAATGGGTTATTTAATGCCAACAACATTTTTTAGGATAGATTCGTATGAATAGAATATATATTCTTTGGTTTAGATTGGTTTGGTTTATTTTTTTGTTTTATGGCATATCAACCTCAATGGTTTATTTAATGCCAACAACATTTTTAGGATAGATTTGTATGAATAGAATATATATTCTTTGGTTTAGATTGGTTTGGTTTATTTTGTTTTATGGCATATCAACCTCAATGGGTTATTTAATGCCAACAACATTTTTTAGGATAGATTTTTATGAATAGAATATATATTCTTTTGGTTTAGATTGGTTTGGTTTATTTTTTTTTTGGCATATCAACCTCAATGGGTTTTATTTAATGCCAACAACATTTTTAGGATAGATTCGATTATGAATAGAATATATATTCTTTGGTTTAGATTGGTTTGGTTTATTTTGTTTTATGGCATATCAACCTCAATGGGTTTATTTAATGCCAACAACATTTTTAGGATAGATTCGTATGAATAGAATATATATTCTTTGGTTTAGATTGGTTTGGTTTATTTTGTTTTATGGCATATCAACCTCAATGGTTTATTTAATGCCAACAACATTTTTAGGATAGATTCGTATGAATAGAATATATATTCTTTGGTTTAGATTGGTTTGGTTTATTTTGTTTTATGGCATATCAACCTCAATGGGTTATTTAATGCCAACAACATTTTTAGGATAGATTCGTATGAATAGAATATATATTCTTTGGTTTAGATTGGTTTGGTTTATTTTTGTTTTATGGCATATCAACCTCAATGGGTTATTTAATGCCAACAACATTTTTAGGATAGATTCGTATGAATAGAATATATATTCTTTGGTTTAGATTGGTTTGGTTTATTTTGTTTTATGGCATATCAACCTCAATGGTTTATTTAATGCCAACAACATTTTTAGGATAGATTCGTATGAATAGAATATATATTCTTTGGTTTAGATTGGTTTGGTTTGGTTTATTTTTTTTTATGGCATATCAACCTCAATGGTTTATTTAATGCCAACAACATTTTTAGGATAGATTCGTATGAATAGAATATATATTCTTTGGTTTAGATTGGTTTGGTTTATTTTGTTTTTATGGCATATCAACCTCAATGGGTTTATTTAATGCCAACAACATTTTTAGGATAGATTCGTATGAATAGAATATATATTCTTTGGTTTAGATTGGTTTGGTTTATTTTTTTTTTTATGGCATATCAACCTCAATGGGTTATTTAATGCCAACAACATTTTTAGGATAGATTCGTATGAATAGAATATATATTCTTTGGTTTAGATTGGTTTGGTTTATTTTGTTTTACGGCATATCAACCTCAATGGGTTATTTAATGCCAACAACATTTTTAGGATAGATTCGTATGAATAGAATATATATTCTTTGGTTTAGATTGGTTTGGTTTATTTTGTTTTTTGGCATATCAACCTCAATGGGTTATTTAATGCCAACAACATTTTTAGGATAGATTCGTATGAATAGAATATATATTCTTTGGTTTAGATTGGTTTGGTTTATTTTGTTTTATGGCATATCAACCTCAATGGGTTATTTAATGCCAACAACATTTTTAGGATAGATTCGTATGAATAGAATATATATTCTTTGGTTTAGATTGGTTTGGTTTATTTTGTTTTATGGCATATCAACCTCAATGGGTTATTTAATGCCGACAACATTTTTAGGATAGATTTGTATGAATAGAATATATATTCTTTGGTTTAGATTGGTTTGGTTTATTTTGTTTTATGGCATATCAACCTCAATGGGTTATTTAATGCCAACAACATTTTTTAGGATAGATTCGTATGAATAGAATATGTATTCTTTGGTTTAGATTGGTTTGGTTTATTTTTTTTTTTACGGCATATCAACCTCAATGGGTTATTTAATGCCAACAACATTTTTAGGATAGATTCATATGAATAGATATATATTCTTTGGTTTAGATTGGTTTGGTTTATTTTTTGTTTAACGGCATATCAACCTCAATGGGTTATTTAATGCCAACAACATTTTTAGGATAGATTCATATGAATAGAATATGTATTCTTTGGTTTAGATTGGTTTGGTTTATTTTTGTTTTACGGCATATCAACCTCAATGGGTTATTTAATGCCGACAACATTTTTAGGATAGATTCATATAAATAGAATATGTATTCTTTGGTTTAGACTGGTTTGGTTTATTTTGTTTTACGGCATATCAACCTCAATGGGTTATTTAATGCCGACAAATTTTTTATTACTGGTAATATGTTTTTCTTCGAAAATCTATTTCTGGGAATATTTTTCCTTGAAGAAATCTATAGCTGGTCATATTTTTTTCAAAGAATGTATAACTCTTTGTATTGCTGGTATTTTTTTTTTTTAAAGTATTGCTGATAATAACTTTTCCTTCAAAAATTATTGCTGGTAATAATTTTTTTATTACAAAGTATTTCTGGTATTAAAACCTATTATTATATACTATATACCTATTTTTACACAAGTTTGAGTGTTAACTATTTGCCCATAACTAGGACCCTAACAGGTGCTACCACCCCGGGTCAGGGTGGACCTGGGAGCACCAGCAATTAAAAAGTGGTTCCACGCTCCTCAAAACCTCCTGATCAGAGGCCTTGCTGTTGGACGTAGTTTATCTTTTTACCCAAGGACGCGGATGTAGTTTATCAACAGAGTCAATCGGGATAGTAGTATTCAATGCTTATCTAGACAAGTCACTGCAACAGTATTATCTTCTTTGTCTTTCTAGAGAATTACCCAGGACTACTTATCATGAATGGATCCGTCCATTCATGATAGTAAGGAGGGTAACTGGTTCTTATCACAGCAACCACTAGTACATTTTTATAGCAAAATGACCAACAATACATTTTATCTGTATTTGAAGGCATACAATTGCGTTCAAAAATATATTTAGTTGAAGCCATAAAACTGTTTCAAAATATTTAGATTTCCTCATTAAATAACCCATAGAGGTGTTGATATGCCAATAACCAAATTCAACCAACGCAAACATCTATAAATAAATCTAGAAGAGGTCAGAGGTAAAATCAAGAATTTACTTAGGAAACAGTCATGGCGGCCATATTTCTTTTGCCTTTCCTTAACTTGTTTAGCATGCCAGGCATTTACGTGCTTGCTTTGCTACACGAGGTAAGTCATCTTCTCTTCTACAGTCTCAACAATGTTTCCTGGAATTGTTGTTGCTGTTCTTGTCGTTGTTTTATTAATTCCAGCATTACTGCTTCCAAGTCTTCCATTTTTCATTATCTTGCAAATTTGCTTCCAAAGTATATTTCAGATGTTTTAATGTTCCTTTGTTTCCAGCATAAGTTTTTTTTCACAGTACTGACTTCACATGTTGAAAAAAAACAAATCTTTGTCCACCACTTCTGTAATAATCACCAACTGTTGAGATGTGGTGTCTGGCAAGGCACAACACTTAACTTCACCAATTCAGTTGTTATAGTAGTATTCAATACTGAGCTACACAAGTCACTGCAATTGTATTATCAATTTTTTCTTTCTAGACAATTACCTAGGACTACTTATCATGAATGGACTGATCCATTCATGATAGTAATTCTTATTTAGAATGTTAATGGTTACAATCCTTAAGGAAACAGCTGTTTCTTTTAAACAAAAATGAATGGCAGGCAGAACAATAAAAGCCAATGCAATCAGTTCAACATTCCAAACAATCATTTTTTTTCTATATGAAACATCTAACCATAAACAAAGCAATCCATTTGATTCTAAAAGACTTCACCCTCACCCAGGTCAATGGAAGAAAATTTCTTTCAGAGACTAAAGAAGATAAATCGGGAAGAGGTCATGGATTTTTTCTGGTTTAATGCTGAAAAAATTTGCACACACTTAATATAAACACATACATGAAAAAAAAAAAAAAGCAACAAAAACAAAATAAAACAAACAACTTACCTTGTGCCCCTCTAGCCAGTGTACTCCCACAATCCCCATCACCACTTCCTGTATCCAAATTATTCAGAGCTGTTTCTGATGATTTTAGCTGCTTACAAATATTCTGAAGTGCTTTGAAGATCAGAAAATTATTTACTGTAAAAGACAAAAAAAAAACTTTAGTTTTTTTCTTAAACCATTAATCCCCATCATTTGTAGTATCTAAAAATATCCACCAATAATTATAGATTTCTACTTATAATCCATTGACACCCACCAAAATGAGCCTTACTGGGTTATTAATCAGTCCCATAATAACAGAGCTTTATGCTCCAGAAATATATGGAAATGTTTTAACAGAGTACAGAAAGTGCAACACTGATATCCAAACACACATTGGGATAGCAAAAGATGCCTTCCAAAAGCTGAGCAAAGCATTAAGAAATAGAAAAATTTTGTTGGAAACAAAAAAAAAGAGTACTGAACTGTTATATAATGTCAATCCTCCAATATGGCAGTGAATGCTGAACAATCTCCTCATAGATGAAGAAGAGACTTGAGGCAACAGAAATACAGAGGTACAAACAAATTTTAATTATGAAAATGCAGCCCAGAGAAAAAAAGTTTGGAAACCATTGTTATTAGTAATAACTTCATGATTATGCCCAATCTTATCTGAGTCAGTATATGTGCCCCAGCCATCTTGCAGGCATTTATAATAATAATTGCTGAGTCATTATATGCACCCCAGCCATCTTGCAGGCATTTATAATAATAATTGCCTAAAATATTTTTCTAGATGAGATATAATAAGTGGTAAGAAAGCCAAAATACAAAATGAAAAGTAAAAAATGCCATCAGCTTTCTACGTTAGCAAATACAAAATGATTTTATGCTTTTAAAACATAATTGAATTAGTTTAAATTGAAATCAGTCATTGCTTCAATTAAAAAAATAAAATAAAAATCATATGAATAGTTTCTCATGTTTTTTTTCTTACTATAATACCCAGACAAAGCTCAATATTCTATGCATGCAAGTCGGGGGTGTATTCTGCATTTTTACCAATTTTTCCATGCTGTTCAAGAAGCAGAACACTCGTGCAATTAATATGGTGCTTACTTACTTGCCTCCTGGTTGGAGATTAAAATCAGGACAGGATTTACTTGTTAATTCTATAATCCTACAAAATCCCTGTTCATATTTAACATGAGAGAAATTCGAGAGAAAGAGACAAGTAAACATATAAAAAGTCTCACTTCATTATATATGCACATGTGCGAACGTCAAGGCATATATGCACATGTGTGAACATCAAGGCATATTGAATGGACGTATTTTTTACAATATATGAGAACATGTATTCATGTACATGATCTTTAGCCAAAGAAATTACTGATATTTCAAAACTCTCTGAATCTTGTTTCTGCCACTTCCTTAGTAAGAATCAAGATGAACCATTCCAAAACAGAAACTAATCCAGTAGAGGAAGAAAAGAACAGTGAAATAATACTAAGCAAGCAATGTACTATATGTACATTGCTTGCTTAGTATTATTTTACTACGGGTGTAACAGCAAAATTGTCCAAATCATGTATCAGCGTGAGATAATTGTCCATCCCCCAAAATGCTTAATATCTAAAAAAAAAAAAACACTAAACTAATTGAGTTTCTTGTTTTCCAAGTTTTCAGACAAGATGTTTAGCCATCTTAATACCATGTGTCATAAGAATCACTCAAAAAAAACCCTTTGAGTTATTCAGCTAGAAAGAGAACAGGTTTAAAATCATTTTGTGCCAGTTTCACTGTCTTTTCAACTGAGCAATGGTGAGAGGAAAAAGATCATTCAAACCTTCAGTAATTGTTCCAACATTCATACTCTGGGTTCCATCTTAAAGGTTCGTTCAAGAACTATCAAGAGAACAGTGAATAAGTTTAAAAACAGAGGAAAGAGTAGAGAGACAAACTGGATCAGGAGGTCACAACAGGAAGAGGGATCATCATTTCAACTTAGAGCTAAAGAGATAAATTAGAAAAGATCCAACTCAAACAATAAGACTTTTAGCATGTGAGAGAAGAGTTTCGGCTATAACAGTCCAAATGAACAGTGAAAAAACACATGAAAATGAAATTGTACATGAAACTTGTGAGGCACCTTGTTACTCCAGGACAGAAAGTTGGCCGGATGTTACTTAAGATAATCTTGAATAAGTTGGAAATAAGTTGATAATGGACTAATATATATATATATAGATATAGATAGATAGATAGATGCATGTTTCATTAAATAATATAGACAAGTTTTGTCTATTTATTTTATGCAAATTCTTTTCATATCGTCTGATAAGCTTAATAGCATTATCATTAAAAGATGAAAGAAAATCACAATATTGATGCATATTTTTTAATCCTATCTAAGCTTTTGGCTTACATAAGCCATTATCAAAAAGATGACAATTATATTACAATATATTAACCAATACATGGACAAGACAATAATGATAGTCAGTTTTTGTTTGCATGGAAGATTTCCAAGCAACAACAAACTCGTGCAGACGAGACGCTGGAAGTGAAAATCACACCGCAGCTCATGACGTCACACATGACTACGCGAGAGTGAAAACGAGAAGTATTAAGTATGGCAATCTGTTGGTATAAACCAATGGCTTCTGTTATCAATTATAGGCATTTGAGTATATTTGTGGAGTTTTCATAGTTTATTTTGTTCAGGTTAGGTTTCAACTGTTTTATGTATAAAGCTTCAAGAATGGTTAATTTTTTTTTTATTGTTTACATGTTTAAGTAGTTTACAAATTCAAGTGCGTTCCAAATAATATTTATGTTGGACACACCACAAACTGGCTTTCATGATGCTTGACTCTAGATTTAAATGATAACTCTAACATTTTTAGGCATTTAAAACAACATGCCTGGACGCATACACAATTCCGGAAAATCCTCATTGAAAACACCACTTTACTTAAATAGAACTATACTTTATACTTGGGAAAGGTATGAATCCTCTTCTCCTCCCTGCCATCTATAGGTAAATAGCAGGACAGACAGGGTTTTATAGGTTTGAATGGCAACTGGTCTACCGCAGGAAGACATGGCAACCTACTGAGGGAAAAAATCTGCCTCGTCAGTCATGTATTGAAAGATACATGATCACCTACACTTGTATCACACATGGCACATAACTGACTGATAGATATAACCATTTCAATATATTATTGACATGTATTTCTTTCTTCAGGTTTCCCTTTTTTTGGTCAATGTGTACAATATTTTAATTTCTTCAATTGAGTTCTGATTAGTGAACAGCAATAACCAGTTAGTTTATTCTATTGTAGTATTTCTTTTCCTATTGCTAACTTGTGGGTGACAATTTATTCTCCCTCCTCCAACCTCTCTCTCTCACACAAGCAGGGTGTGGCAAGTCTCTCACTGCTCTATCAATATTTCCACAGAAAGTACACGAACTAGATTCCCTGGTCCCGCCTGTTCAAACCTTCAAGGCAAGGACTCACCATTCCATTTACATAGTAGCAAACCACTCACGTTCCTTTTATATTCCATCAGTGAGAATTAAGTTCCACTTGAATAGTTCCACTTATTACCGTCACGTCTATTACAAGTTCCACTTGTAATAGACGTGACAGTGACTTACCAGGAGCAAAACGAATTCACTGCCCTGCGTGTCGAACCATTCTCTGAGAGTCGATCGCACGTACGTACGCCTGCTGCCATTTTTATGCAGCAGGCTTATTTGCATAAGAGAACAATGCTACCTCTTAAAAAAAAGGTGAGTGGACATGAGGGAGCACTGCTCTTCTAGGCTTCGGTGAGACTAGACATATTGCTGAAAGAAAGCAACATCAATTTCTGGACACCTGACAAGCTTCTTCCTGCTTACCACTACTCAAAGGATTCAACTCCCACGAGGGTGTTTCTCCAATCACTACAATCTTAACCTGTTCAAGGCTAGGGTTAACTATTATCTTCTCCTATCCACTGCTTCCTAATGTAACACTGTACCTTGAGTGAACCATACTAAAAAAAACTGTAGTTGAAGTTTTTTTCATGTTGCTTTTAATTACATCCATTTTTAATGCATTAATTGAATTTAATAAAGTCTAATAAGTTCTTTAAAATCGAAAAAGGGTACCTGGAAAACTCTTCTTTTCAGGCTTTGCAGAAATTGAACCCTTTTCCTTGCATTCTGGTGTTTGCCTGTCAGCCAAACCAGCAGGTAAATAGGGGCAAAGCCAACTCGGAGCATTTGTGGGAGCATCTAGAGGAAGAAGAAGAAAAAAAACAGGGACAGATGGCAGGATTATCCAATATGGCTGTAAAATTCAAGTATGGAGGGACACATTTAAACAACAACAAAATGTAAAAAGACTATGTTTGCTTTGCTGTTCAAAGCTTTAGGATGAAGTCAGTATATATATATATATATATATATATATATATATATATATATATATATGAAATGGAAATAAAAATGGTAAGATGTGCTTTACCATTTATGATTAAAAGGAAAACAGGAAGAAAAAAAGAAAGAAAAAAAAAATTTGACCAGCCAACTTGTTTTGCCCTCACTCAACAGAGCTGAAATAGAGGGAAGACTACTAAATATTGCAATATAAAATATAAAAACATGAGAAGCATATGATAAAATAAAGATGGAAAAGATCAGATGGAAATCATGTCATCAGGACGTTCTGCCTCCCACTATATTAATAATGTAATATACCGTTTTGAATGTAGTTGTGGAACTGACTACATAGGTAGAACTACCTTGGGGTTAGACACATGAATTAACCAGTAAGTACCCAAAAGAATTAGGAATGGTATGTTCCAACCTGGTGACACTATCACGAACACATACGGCTCTGCCATTGCTGAGCACTTTATAAAAAATCCAAGTTGTACCACAAATTTCAGCATTGACTCATTTTCCATCCTTAGTCATGCTCATTCTGTGTTACATTTAAAGGTATTGGAAACGATTTATGTCAGGTCTGGACAGCCCTCCCTCTGTAAACAGAGGGAATGCCTGTTAGGGCTTGACATGATTTCCATCTGATCTTTTCTACCTTTATTTTTTAATTTTAATTTTATTGGTTTTTTTTTTATATAGCTAATAATTATTTCATTTTTTAACTTCTTTTTTCTGGCCATCTCTTAATTTCCCTTTAATTTTTTCATAACCCCAATTTGGGGTTTTAGGGTCAAGCCAAAATCCACCTACCCCTTACCACCACTTGGGCGTTTTGTTTGGTTACCTCAATATCAAATGTTGAACTGCTATCTCTTTTTTAAATTCTTTAAATATCAAATTTAAATTTTTAACATAGAATCAGTCCACCATTTGAGTCGAAAATTGTAGAAATTGATGTTAGTTGAAATAGTCTATACTAATGAGGTAATTTTGGATTTCTCTATTATACTTAATAATATATATATATATATATATATATATATATATATATATATATCAATTTATGTGGTGCAGTTCAATTTATATTACAATGAATCATTCATACAAAAAGTAGATTAGTAAAGTTAATGATATAAAATGGCGAAATCCTTTTGCAAACAAAATTTTAAAGTTGCATTAACCTATGAACCACTCGATGAATGTTATGATCCTTGTTTATAATAACTACAAGCTGTATAAGGTCTTTTTTTAATCTTCAAGTACTTTCAACTGAACATTCAGTCATCCTCAGGCATGGAAATTATTTTGTTTTTAGTAAATTCAACCATAGCATTGCGACTGCATGCTCCAAAATTTTTTATCCATTAACAATAACACATTTCTAAAAAAAACATACTTTGATTCGCATTTAATTTTTTCATTTCTGATGCTACCTGGATTTTACTAAAAACAAAATAATTTCCATTTTTTTAAACCCAAAGTAAAAATTATTCTTTTATTAGCCACTAGTGTTCGGTGGGCGTTTATTACTGTTCTGTCTATAAAATTCTTCTAAACAAGGAAAATTAATTCATTTTATTTTGACAAATATCTTTATGGTTTTATCTGGCAAATAATACACTTAAGTAACATTATACTAAAATGATTAAAATAATTTTAAATTTCGGTTTTAATATGCGTATCTAAAGAACAGGTGATACTCGCAAGATTTGGAAATCTACACATTATAAAAATCAAATTAAACACTTTTAGTTATTTTAAATATTTAATTTTAGCTATATTCGCTAGATAAAAACAAATTTATTTAAGGGGGGAAAAATAACTCCTTGATTTTCCTTGTTTAGAAATTTATTTGCAAAACCCAAATAATATTTGACTGGTGTACCAGAAAAGAATTGTCATTTATTTTTGTTTATTTTTTTTTTTGCTTACTTTATAATTTTTGAAGGAATTCACTTCCTCAGGTCAGAGAAGAAATGAACATCTTCCTGGTTGTAGTTTAAGTTGTCGAGTTCGAATCCAGGTTGAATCCATTACATTCACTTACGTGCTAATACCCTTGGGAAAGGTATGAATCCTCTTCTTCTCCCTCCAGGTATGGGTAAAATAGCAGGACAGACTGGGTTCTATAGCCATGGATGGCAACTGGTCTAGGAGAAACACAACTCTGAATTCAAAACCTGAGGGGGGTCGTTTGGGAACCTTGTGGCATTTGGTGCACCAGGTCTCCGTATTCGGCCCTTCAAAAAGTGTGGATGGTCCTGCACGAAACCTTCACCACTATAATCGAATCTCATGTGCCGGTGTCGGGCTGTCAGTTTCCTGGAAACTGATCTGCTTAACCCTCATACGTCGAACCCGACGGGAGAATCGATATATATATATATATATATATATATATATACAGTACAAGGCAAAAAAATGGATGCACTCATAGAAAGTCAATTTTTGTATTTTTACCAAGACAAGTGAGTTACAGAATTTGTTTATTAATACAGGGTATTAATACAGGTGTACATATGTACATGATGCAAGTTAAAAAATGATTTTGTAACAATAACACTCATAACCATACTACCTTAAAGAATAAAGGTTATCTAGAGAGGAAGTGCAACGAGGATAAATTACAACTCTTCCAGTGGCCTAGTCAGAATCTTCACCTTAAACCAAATTGAAAACATTTGGGCAATAATGGTCAAGTGTGCCCATAATAGGAAAGTTAACACAGAAGATGAGCTTTTTTGTGAATTAAAGGAATGCTGGTCAAGGATGTTAACTTACTAAAGAATTTAGTCTATAGAGTGCCACAAAGAATTAAGGCCATCATTAAAGCAAAAGGTTACCCAACAAAATACTAAATCATTTATATTAAAATACTAAAAATATCGGGGATACTAAAATCCAGTTGGTACAGAAATTTAAATATCTGGGAAGTGTCTGTCTATATTTCTGAGATGAGGTATTATGATTATTTACATTATTCAAACTGTTATCCTCATCTTCATTGCAATATTCCCAACATTCTGGCCGTTGCATGCTCGAGCCTTTGTCTATGACTCTATATCTCTGAGATGAGGTATTATGATTACTTGCATTATTTACATTATTTAGACTGTTATCCTCATCTTCATTGCCCTATTCACAACGTTTCAGCCATTGTAGGCTCCGGCCTTTAGGTCTATGTCTCTCTATATCTCTGAGATGAGGTATTATGATTACTTGTATTATTTACATTATTCAGACTGCTATCCTCATCTTCAGTCATATTCACAACGTTTTGGCCATTGTAAAAGAAAAAGCAAAAAAAGAAAAAAAGAAAAAGAAAAAGAAAAAAAAAAAGAAGTGAAAAAAGAAAGAAGCAAAAAAGAAAGAGAAGTGAAAAAGAAAAGAAAGAGAAGCAAAAAAGAAAGAGAAGCAAAAAAGAAAGAGAAGTGAAAAAGAAAAGAAAGAGAAGCAAAAAAGAAAGAGAAGCAAAAAAAAAAAGAAAAAGAAAGAGAAGTGAAAAGAAAGAAAGTAAAAGAAAAGAAAGAAGTAAAAAAGAAAGAAAGACAAGCAAAAAAGAAAAAGAGATGAAAAAAAAAAAAAAAGAAAGCAAAAAAAGAAAAAAAAGACAAAAGAAAGAAGTGAAACAAAAAAAAAAGAAAAGAAAAAAAGAGAAGTAAAAAAAAGAACAAAAAGAAAAAAAAAAAAGAAAGACAAGCAAAAAAAAGAAAGAAAGAGAAGAAAAAAATGAAAGAGAAAAAAGGAAAGAGAAGAATCAAAAAGCAAAAAGAAAGTGGTGAAAAAAAAAAAAAGAAAAGCAAAAAGAGAGAAGAAAAAGAAAGAAGCAAAAAAGAAAGAGAAGCAAAAAAAGAAAGAGAAGCAAAAAAGAAAGAGAAGAAAAAAAGAAAGAGAAGTGAAAAAGAAAAGAAAGAGACGCAAAAAGGAAAGAGAAGTGAAAAAAGAAAGAAGCAAAAAAGAAAGAGAAGTGAAAAAGAAAAGAAAGAGAAGCAAAAAAAGAAAGAGACGTGAAAAAATAAAGAAAGAAAGAGAAGCAAGATAAGAAGTTGATAAGAGAAGTAAAAAGAGAGGACATTAAAAATAGAAAAAGATGTGAAGAAAAGAAAGTAAAAAGTGAAGAAAGAAATAAACAAAGAAAGAAAAACTAAAAAAAGAGAAGAAAATAGAAAAAAAAGTAAAATGAGGAGGAAAGAAAAAAGGAAAAGAAATTTGGAAAAAGGGTTTTTTTTATTTTTTTCATTTAACACTAATCTTAACTTTGGACTCCAATATTTCGTGGCATTTAACTACACCAATTTACATTTGATATTACAGAGTATAATGGTGTGAGGCTAGACCCAAGTCCTATTAGTGAACAGCATCTGGGTAAACATTAGCCTAGTCAATAATTGGACTTCACACATAAGATGGAAGATACATGCCATCAAGTACGGTAAAATACGAAAAACACTTCAGCTCAAAAATCTGTTATCTTAATCATATTCATATTTAGGAATTAAAAAAAGTGACTCAAGATATCAGTTTGATTTCAGTGAATGTTGTCTGTGATAACAAGAGTTACTTACCCAGGCATCTTTTAAATGTGTCATTGAGATGAAGAAGAGTGATTGAAAAACCTCGCATGTTGAGAGAAGTAACAAATGAACCACAGTAAGCACGGCTGACCTTTGCTCCTTTCGTTTCTGGAAAAGGAATGTGAATAAAAAAAGAAAAAAAATGAAATTAAAATTGACATCAAAGATGTTCATGGGAGCTAAAATGACATAATTTCCAAGGAAATGCCCCCTCAGATAAATTTCTTTATTTGCATTTTAGGAAACAAACAAGTGCCATTTTTTAAAAATCAGTATTTCTGTGACCCAATTTGGGGACAGAAAAGTAAAACTTAAACTCAATCTGGTTTCTCTCAAATCTGGTCTTAACGGGAATATAACAAATTTTCAACTTATCTTATGTCTCTGTGTACGTCTGCTATAGCATCTAATGTCTTTTGGTTCTCAATCTTCTTCTTTTTATGTGCCATGCCCCTTCAGGATGTAGGCGATCATGGCTCTCCACTTCCTCCTATCCCTTGTAGCTCTCAATAAGTTTTATCCTTTTTCTACTTCTCCCAGACCATGTTCTGTTGTCCACTTGCTTAAGCCTGCCAGGTATGTTATGAATTACTTTCCCTTGTCTGTCTTTCCCTCTATTCGACCTGTGAGTATCAGATTCTCCAGATCCTCCTTTCTCAATTTGTGTTCTAGAAATTTCAGCTGCCTCTTCCTGATGTTAAGTATAAGCTTCCTCCTCGTTTGCATCCTTTTCAAAACCTCACCATTGATCACACGCTCAGTAGGTAAGTTTAAATAAGCTTTTTTTTTTTCAAATTACACTGTCAAAATGGCTTTCTTCATCCTATATGTGCTTACAGCAATTTTGTTAACCCTAGGCTAAATAGTTTGATCCTAGATAGAAAACAAAAAATATGATGCAGCTCAAAACTTGTTATATCCTGTTTACCTTAAAAAAGAAAGTATAATTTTATTATAGACAAAATTTTTTACCACTAGGTCAAATGGTTGGCATTTGCATAAAAGACATATAAATGGTCTGAATTCCTGGGATGAGGAGTTATTTACAATATTCACATGCAGACTACTGTCCTCATCCATGGGCGTGTGGCTGAGTAGTTAGAACATTCACATTCTGACCATGAGACCTGAGTTCAAATCTCACCATGGTCGATTTATCAGAAAGGAGACTTCCTGATGTTATCACACTGCAGGTGGCACCTTTGGAAAGTGCCTGAAAGACATATCACGGGTGGACCAAAGCCTTGTGAGTGAAATTGGGTAGATGGAAGCCTTGGGGGTCGTCGATAGCTGTGCTAGCATGAAGTCACAAGTCATCATGGCCAAAAGCTTGAGCATGCTGTCCTTGTTCAAATCACACTAGATAACACGCTCTTTCCCAGAAACTGTAACTAAGGTCTGTTTAGCATAGTTGCAGTATAAACCACAGGTGGGTTCTGTAGGTGTTGAATAAACATAAATGCGCCTGAGCAAAGGTCTGCAATAGGGATTGGCTAGCTGCCCTAGTAGACAGGTATCCACGAATATGAGTGGCCAGCTAAACAGAGAAATCAAACTGAAACTATTTTATGCCTTCAACTACAGAAATTTTGCACATAATTTTATACTTTCAAGACAAATGTACAGTATGAGGCAAAAATATGGACGCACCCTTCGAAATGATGATGAACAAAATATAAAGCTTATTACATTTGTATTTATATTTATCAACATGCCTAAACATTATTCTTACTTCAAGAAAGGCCAAGTCGCCGCTTTTCATGATCTTTTCAATTGGGTTAAATCTGGCAAAAGGACATTGACTTACTAAAGAATTTAGTCTATTGAATGCCATGAAGAATTAAGGATGTTATTAAAACAAATGGTTACCCAAGAAAACACTAAATCTTTTTTTGACTTGTATAATGTACATATATACACCTGTATTAATAAACGAAATCTATTACTCTCTTGTCTTGGTAAAAATACAAAAATCGACTTTCTACGGGTGCATCCATTTTTTTTTTTGCTTCGTACTGTAAATCTGGATAACCTACAGAGAATATCTAATTGAACCCTTTATTTAATTTAATATGTCCTTTTAAATTCACATTTTCAATAAAACTTCCTTGTTGTCTGCTCTGTCTATGGTATTCTTTGTGTCTTTCTTTAAAACTGCAAATCTGTTGCCTCTATCTGTGAGAAAATTGTCCAGCATTCACTGATATGACAGAGCAGTTCAGCATTTCTAACAAAGTTTTTCCTATTTGCTAATGACTTCCATAATTTCTGGAAGGCATCTAGTACACCTTTGAATTTCTGTTTCAAATTTTTTGCCAGCTGTTATGACACTTCACCTCTCACACCATCCATATTTCACTAGCTCATATATTAAACTGTTCGTCTTGCTAACAACTATAGATTCTATTTTCTTACTATTCATGCTTAGTCCGTTCTTATCATTTTACTATTCGACCTTGTCTAGTAGTATGCACAGTTTTTGTGTCATTTGATTGTCTTATGCAGTTGAAGTTGAGCACTTCAATAATAAACTTCTAGCTCTCTGAATATTGCCTCGATGTATAGTTTAAATAGGTCCAATGAGAAGGCACATCTTTGTTTTTCGAATTCTACATTTTTGTAGAGTTGCTCAATTAGTTTTATCTTTAACTAGCAGCATGGCCCCATGTTGCCCGTGCTTGATTCAAAAATCGTACGACTCGTACAGCAATCGCTATCACTTGACTTAAAATATTTTTGCCCTTACTTGCCTTTAAAGGAGTGCCCTTTGCCATGCTGATGTTGCTACATGCCTTACTTCTTGCCTATCTCATACTGAGAATTTTTTCTAAGCTCTATACTAAACATTAAATCTGTTACAAAAAAAGAACTAAACAAAATGAACACAGAATGATCAGCTTTAAAAAAGGACTCGTAACTGGAAAAACCGAATGAAAAATAATGTTAACAACAAATACTTTTTCACACCCAACCCAGTTCTGTGGAATCAGAATCAACGTTGAGTTTAAGCAAGCGAATGAGCCAATTGGAGTAAAGTGCCATGCAGATTTAAATTTTTCCCACTTGTGACGAATGCAGCTATCAATTTTTTTTGCATGCTAACATGCTAGTTAACATTCGTGTCAGTCAGCTGTTGGCTCTCACACTGGCCAATAGAATCTTCCTGCCTATTCGTGGCAGCCAGCTATTGGCTCTCACTCTGGCCAGTACAAAATGGCCGCAAACTACATGAAAACTGCCATAGAAGCATGAAAAAATTGATTATTTCCACTATCGATGGGAGTTGGGAAATGCAAAGTCAGTCTTGGCCTTCCTGCTAACTTGGAGCATGTGCATGTAAATTTCGGTGCAAATCCGTCGAAAATTGTGGCCATGCATTTGTTACACACACACATCCTGCCTTTTATAGATAGAGATCCAACAATTATTCAAGCCTATTGCTTTCATTTGATTTGTTATTGCAAAATATTTTAAAATCATTTTCTCCCCAAGTACAGCAGGAATGCCACTAGTTTGCAGGGGGTTACTGAGAGTGAAAGTGAGTGAAAAGATTGTATATAGGGAGGATTGAGGAAAGGACAAAATATGAACAGGGTTTAAGAAGACAGAAGATGGCGATTGACATTGTATTTAAATTTTTCAAGATTGCATAAATCAGAGAAGCAAGTAAACAGTAGTGAGTTCCACAACAGAAAATGTGGGAAAAGAACCTGTTGAAGTAGAAGTGGCAGTTGCATTTAGCTATTACAACAGTAAATGGGTGGGACCTAGATGCCAATCTAGTAACATACTTAAATTCATCCAGTCAGGGACACCAGGGAAAAAAAAATCTCATCAGATTAGTTGCCATGAAAATATTGGTAGAAAAAGGAAGAAGAAAAAAGGGAGAGCAAAATGAGTTATTAAAACTTACCTTCTTTCATTGTGAAAAGAGAAAATGAAAGACACTGAAGACAACAGGAGAGGGTAATTTATTAGGTGAAAGGAGGAAGTTGGTTGCATTATGGGAGAATGGTTAGAAGAATTAAGAGATATGAAGAAAGAAGCTTTGGTTGTCTAATGGATGGTAAAGAAGAGCCAAGAGGAGTAAAAATAAAGAACAGGAAACAAGGAAAGAGAAAAGTGCAAGTGGAATTATTTCTTTTTTTCTTTTTTCTTAATCAAGGCAATTGTCTGAGCCTTACAACATCAGAAGAGAAAATCAGTGTGAAAAGTTGTGTTTTGTATATATATATATATATATATATATATATATATATATATATATATATATATATATATATCTATTGGTAGCATGTAATTATTGAGGCATGTGTTATTAAAGACTATGGAACTTCTCTGTTTGATAATCAAATTCGAAATAATACTAGTCCTCCACCCAACTCATTCCTAAATCAAAAGCAAGTGTATTGGAAATGGATCAGTGGGGGATTAAATAAAATATACATATTTTCTTTTCATCCTACTTCATATGAACTCAAAAGGAACTTTTTAGTATGCATACAATGGAACATAATTTCCAATCTCTGATTCAAAAGTTTGTTTTTTTGGGGGTATGGGGTCTGGAAATGTTATTATACCTAATTTTTCTTGTTGACAAAGGTTGCTATGATTGTTGTAAGGTTTTTGCTTTTTTTTTTTAAATTTTCCAGTTTATAATTGGATTTTTTTATTTTTTCCCTTCAATTTCCATACATAGTTGATGAGTTTAGTAGAATTTCTAAGGCTTTCTAGCTTAAATGATGACTTGTGATTATACCACCTCTTCTTAAAGTTACCTTCAGTCCACCCTATGTATATTTTTTCTTGCTATTTGTATCTATTACTTCTATTTTGTAAATTACTGCTTCAGTTTTGCAAACACCATCTAATGGACATCTACTTTTATTTCTACAATTGCATATATTACTGTTAACAATGTTTTGCTGTTCATTAGTTTTTAAATTTCTGGCATTTTGTCTTTTTATTGTGGTTTCTAAATTAATAGTACAGGTGTAGCTTAATTTAACTGTGTTTTGATTAAATATTTTAATATTTCATATAATCCTGAATTTCTGGGGAAGTGTTTATTAAGTAATTTGAAAAATATTTTCCCTATTTTACACTTG